TTTGGGGAAACCAGGGTAAAAATAAAGGTTTCAGTAAGAAAAGCTTTTAATAGTAGCCATTCTGAATCAGTCCCCTGTCCCCCAGGGATGATCCCCCAGCCTGGGAGAGGAGGCAGGTACCCAAGTTCCACCTGCAGCCTGTGCTGCCCTCAGGCAGAGCGCCTGGTCGTGCAGACCCTGGGCTGTGAGCTTCTCATCTGTTCCTCCCTGCATGTTCCTCAATTTCAGCAGACACTCCCTAGATGCCGAAGTACAATGCAGGGGATAGAGCACAGGTTACAGAGTTAGATTTGGGTTCTAGTCTCAGGTCAGGTGATTCCTAGCTGTGCAGCCGAGCAAGTTAGGTTACTGACCCTCTGAGTGCTTCAGCTTCCTCAGCACATTGCTTCCGGCTGCTTTCAGGCATTGTTTAACAGCAGCATGGGGACTGGAGCTGAATTTTAATAGGTGGGCAGAATTTGGATCAGTGGACTCCCTTTTGTGTAGCCTGGTGGAAGGTGATGAAAGGCATTTAAATTTTTATAGCCATCTAATTAGTAAATTCTAATTCTGACCTTCCTTACACTTAAAATAATAAAGAGAGTCTAGGCTTAGAATTGGCCTGATCTGCAGGTGAATGCTTGACTGACCACTTAGAAGCTGTTAGCACCTTGGGCAGATGACTTTCTCAGACTTGGCTTTCTCAATGGTTGTAAATGGGAAAAGTGATACTCACCTTGCAGGGCTGTGGTGAATTAAAAGTAGTGTGTGTGAAGTGCTTACACTTTTCATAGTGGTCATGCATGGTCCCATCCTACTTCCATCTTTTATGTATTTTATATGTTAAAGGTAATTCATTGATCCATAGTAAATTAATCATCTATTTTAATACACTAGATAGAAAATGACAGTGGCATTCAGTTTTTAAAATGTCAGCTTGTATCATCATGGTTCTTGCCATTTGTATGTCACACTGAGTGTTGGACCTGGTTTGTTTTTCTTTTCCCCAGATGGTATATTACTTACGGTCATGAACTCATTTGGAAGAACAGGGAGCCTCTAGTGAAAATCTGGCATGAAATGAGGACTAACGGCCCCAAAAAAGGAGGTGGTTCTAAGTAAAACTGGGGTTGGACAACACTGGTGCATCTGGTCCATGCTGCCTGAAGCCCCAGGAACTCGTTGGCCCTGGAGTGACCACATCTTTGTTCTGCCTGGAAGACACCCAGCATCTAGCTTTCCCAATATTTTAAACTATGTCCCCAGTACACATCTCATTAGAAAGTGAATTATGACAAAGTTGTGAAATAAAGGTTTATATCTCTAGTTTGTAAACAGAGGGTATATGTCTCTTTGAAGAGCACTAATGCTGCCCTGGACTGTTGCTGTTTGCTTTTCCATTTAACACAGTTTGAGCCCTGAACCTGACATGCGTGCCCATGGAAAGGTCGGATTGGAACTCGGAGTTGGTTGTGTCTGTACGTTGGTCTTCAGCACCTCTGCTAAATATTTACTCTTACTTACTTTCCCCTTTCCTTGCTTGGTTGACAGGTAAAAGTTAAGAGCATCTTCTCTCTGGCATGGTCTGAAATAACAGCTGCAGTATTATCTAAATTTTCCCAAGAAAGGTAGGTAATGTTTTCTGGCAGTGAGTGGCACATACAAAAAGTTATTTTTAGGTTTTGCTTTCTAGGTTAAAATTATAGCTAAATTAAGAATTAGAAGGAAGTATCTTGGATAAATTCAGACTTGAATCTGAGCCTAATAGCATCTTATGTTGGAAAATTACATTCTTTGGAGTGGAACGTCTTATGAAGTAGCAGACAGTGGTCATCATCATAGCTTCATGGTAGTGAACTCACTTGTCCTCGTGATTGAAAATTATTTCTAGGAAATGCAACTTGAGAATTTAAGTTTTTCTTGAAAGGATTTATGGGAGAGCTTTTGGTGACCTCAAAAGTTTATCGTAGATTTTGCACCTTGTGCTGGAGAGGGCCGGGCTTTGTGACCAGAAGAGGGAGCCATGCCGCCTCTCACGATGCTGAGAGCTGAATGGCACTTGTACCCAGCACATGGTATTGTCCAGGATGTGGTGGTTCTTCATCTTTTTTCCACCAAGCCTGACCCTTCTCTACTGTGAAGTACCAATCATTCTTTTTTTTTTAAATGGAGGTACTAAGGATTGAACCCAGGACCTCGTGCATGCTAACCACGCACTCTACCACTGAGCTGTACCCACCCCCTCAATACAAGTCATTCTTACGAGGCAGAGGAGTCTATTCTAAACTGCCACTTAAAGGAGAGAAAATTTTGTTTTTAACTCGCCCTTCAATTTGCTGGTAAGGAACCCAGGTGGTCGTGTGTGGGAACTGCCCAAGGTCACACTGCTGTGCTTTGACATTTCTGAGTATGTAGTTAAGCTAACAACCCTGTGACTTAAAGATGAGACAAGAAGTGTTTTTCAGAGATGGAATGGGAGGCTGAGATCATATGGACATTCCACATGGAGTCCAAAATGAAATACATGTCTTCTGTGGGCAGACCAGGAAAATAGGCAGTGAAGACATGTCTTATCTCCTTGATTTGTTTTTTGTTTTACCTCTTTTTTTTGTTTTTGTTTGTTTGTTTTGTGGGGGAGGTAATTAGGTTTATTGATTTATTTGTTTAATGGAGGTACTGGGGATTGAACCCAGGACCTCATGCATGCTAAGCACACACTCTACCACTGAGCTGTACTCTCCCCGCGTCTTCTCCCTGCTTTGTGATAGTTAGGAAAGGAATGTTTAGAAGGTTAAGTACCTACCAGTTTCCCTGTAAGAGGCCTTGGGAGGTCAGCTCGCAGCTCCAGAAGCACAAGCCTAACTGTCCACAGCCTTGGCAATTGAACCTACTCTCCTGTTTGCCCTCTGGGTTTATGTTACTTTCTCATCTTGGCTTCTTTGCTGACACGTGATCACCCCAAGGCTGTTCCTGGCTCGTGTGCCTCAGCCTGTGCCCCCTCCACTCCACTGTCTTCTGAAGTGTGGGGTCCCTGGAGTGTACCCTTAGCTGTCTCGTCTCTCCACTTCCTGTGGCTTCAGTTGTCTCTATGAGGATGTCTTCTGAGTGCTGGACCCACTGAGTATCTGCATCTCTCACTCAGTACGTGTGTCTACTGTGTGTCAGGCATAGTTCCAGGTGCTGGGACCCCACTGCACAGGCACATCACATATCACTCCTGCCTCAAGCCCTCAGCCAGCCTGGGGCTAGTCTAGATTTCCCTCTCTCATCTCATGTCTAGAATCCATCCCTGTCTCTCCACTCCCAGTGCCTGTGCCTTAGTTCAGTCCCTTGTCTCTAACCTGGACTCAAGACTGTTCTCCAGCTGCTCTCTAAAACGTCCTTGTGCTTCTCCATATGGCCACAGAGTGCCAAAAACACTTTAGTCATTTCCTGTTGTTGCCTATGAAAAACTTTTAAGCTCCCAGTGTGACTACTGAGGGCTTTGTGGGTCCAGCCTCTGCTGCTTCTGGCTGAACCCTTAGCCCATGACCCCACCCAACCCAGCTGCCCTCCCTCACTACAAGCAGCAAGCCCAGCCCCTGGCCCTCTTTTCTGCTGTTGCTTTATGCAGTTCTATTATGCTGGTTTTCACTGCACTGTAAACCTCCTGAAGGCAACCTACATTCTTCCAGGTACTTAGTTTAAGAGCTCTTTGTTGTTTAATGAATAAAGAAACCAAGACAAGAAGAGCTGCTCTTTTTTCCTGCAGGATGGAGTGTTTCAGTCACCAACCTCCCGGGTGGCTGGACCGAGGCCCTAGTGCATGGAGGTCACACAAAGGCAGCTTACCCTGAGCAGGTGTGTAATCTCCCAGTATCTTCACAGTATGCACAGCCCCTCTTCTGCTGCCTCTTGGGCCATGGCCTAGCCAAGGCACCTGAACTGCCACTTTGGGACTGTTGTGTCATTTTGCTGTGACTTCGAGCTAAGACAGGCAGTGGTTTGGGAGAGGAATCTATACTGTCTGGCCAGGGCTGTGCTGCAGTCCTCGTCTGTGAGGTGCAGGCTGAATAGCATCCAAATGTATGCCTGAGATGGAGTGCTCGGTATTAATGCTGTTTCAACAGTGGTGTTAGTAATTGGTCTGCAGTGCATACTGAGGGCTTGTGTCAGATATTCAGGACACTTTTTGAATGTGGCCAGGGAGTTGTTGGATACCCTGCTATGCATTAAACAGACTGACCTTTAGCCTGAAGGATTACCCATATTTAGCTCTGCACAGAAGGGGGAACTTTTACAATCTAGCGGCCAAAGATTTCTGGAAGCCTTATAAAGCCAAATCAAGTCTTGTGGCCATGCTTTAAAATTAGGGATTTTAGACCCCAGGAAATGTCAATTGAAGGCTAACGCCAGTTCTCAATGGAAGCTAAATGGGTTGTCACAAATTGAGCATCATAAAGGCTGATTCAAACACCTCTGGGAAGCACTGTCAAATCTTCCCTGTTATTCCCTCATCGATGCTTCTCCCCACTGTGCCCGCAAGCCCCGCGGTGCAGCCTAGCACAGATCCAGCAGCCACGGCCGATTTAGCCCCTGTCCGCGGGGCCACACAGACCCTCCGGGAGGCCGGCTGCAGCACTGTGCTGGCCGAGGGCGATCAGCTAGGAATTGTCGTTACCCCGCCCTCGGCCTCTGCCAAGCCAGGTCCAATTTATTTTAACATTTAGAGAATTTGGGATTAAACGATGAGACATTCTTCAAGTTGGATACTTGTAAATGCCTTCAGGAGGTCTTAGTCGTCTCCCTCCCCCGCCCCGCCCCATTTCTGCACCCCTCCGGCCGCGTCCTTTTCCCCTGGTGCCCCGCTCCAGCCATGCGCACGCGGCCCTGGCCTCGCGGGGCTGTCACCGAGCCCTCAGGCTCCTGGATGGCCAACCCCCCAGGCCAGGGGGCGGAGCTGTGGCAGCGCGGGGAGGGCCGCGGGGGCGGGACAGGGG